TGTCAAAAGAATGCATTTCCTGTTGCTTGTATTGTTATTTATATTAGAGTAAGAAGCTTATTTATTGATTTATTAAATATCATGACCCTCTCTGTGTTGTTGTGTAGACATAGTTAGTTGATGCATATTCATCAATGTAAGTTCAAAATTAGTTGTAGATTTCCTAAAAAACCATTAAGAATCGATTATTAGATTAGAGGTCAACCATAGACAAAGTAAGGTCTGAAAAAATAATGTGAATTCATCCACTTAGGACTCAATACAAAAGGCTATTTCACCAATACACAGTATAAACCGGCGGTGAATTACTACATCAACTGATGTTACACTTTGACATATTAGTCTGTAGTCAGTCAGTTAGTCAACAACAACATAGAACCTCGTAAGTACGTACGTCAGCTTAAGTTACCAAACCACATTAGCACAGAGATCCAATTGTCACCTCAAATCCCATAGTAGTAGAGGTAGTAAAAATATTAGCAGTAATCAGAGAGATTAGGGTTCGACGATATTATTCAAGAAGTAGAATCTAGTGAAAGAAACTTAAAAAGAAAAAGATAAAGGTGATGGAGAATTCAGAAGGTTAGGATTTGAGAGAACACAAACAATGAATGCACCTGCGCCAATGATAATTCAATGACAACAGTAAACATTTAAATTATGATAAACTTTGCTAATGTGTACATTACAAAATTTATATCCAGCTTGAAAGATTCCGTATAACAATCATCAAAAGTTACACATTTTTGAAACCATGAATCGATCAATGTTAGACCACCATTAGAAACCTGGAAGCACTGGACGGCCGTCAAGTCCTGGTATGGGACTGTTCATCAGTAGTGCGCATCCACGACTCCTGCACCACGCAGGATTCGAACCCAGGACCTTCGGTATTGTGCGCGAACGCCCTAACCGTTGGACCACTGAGCCGGTATCTAACGGTGTTAATGTCCAACTTGATCAAATTCACGGAGTTGCGCAACCTCATACACAGTCTTCGGTAGACACTGCCTACACCCGAACAGGTTGAACTTGACTGGTCACGTCTTCCCACTGGATGCGCACTGCTGAGAAGTCCCATACCAAGACGAAACGGCCGTCCAGTGCTTCCAGGTTTCTAATGGTGGTCTAACATTGATTGATTCATGGTTTCAAAAATTTGTAACTTAACAATCTTCACAACCCCGTAATGCAAATCATCAAAAGTATAACCACAGAAAAAAAAGAAGACAAAATTGACAAGTATACACAGACAGAAAAAAAAATTATATATTCCAATTCACACACAATAATATTTATCAAAACAGATGTGTTTTCAATTTATGATAGATAATATACATTAGAAAATTAATCAATATTCATTTGAATTTTATCATTATGGAAACTAGTAGCTACAAGAATACAATTGAAAATTTATTTGTAAGATGAAATATATTGTTGTTACTGGTTAGTTAGTTGAATGATGATGACGACGACACATGAAATGTTTATAATCATAATAATAATAATAGAGGGTCAAATCGTAAACGACTAAAATTTATGTTCATGTCAATTGCAGTGCATTTTTATGCATATGTACAAAATTGGTTTTATGTACTTTTACAGTGAAAAAATTTAAATATTCAAAAAAGTTAATTTTTTTTTGTTGCTAAAATAGAGTTTAAAATAATGATCTGTGACAAGCATTTTTCTTTTCATAAATAAATAAATATTACTGATTTAATAGATGCTAGTCAAACTGAAACGAACAGAATAAAAAATAAAGATGATTTACAACATGTGAATAAATTGAAAAGTCGATGGGTTTTGTAGAAAATTTTCCAATTTGTAGGTAATGGTTTTCGTATAACACTGTAATAGTGTAGTGAAGGAGAACACAGGTGAGGGCAACCGAATTGTATTTAACGAAAATTACAGAGTTACTCAGTAAAATAGGAAAACCATATCGTAAATCGTTAATTTGCAAATCTTCAATCCATCATCAATCCATTGTCTGACATTTCACTCATTCATGCATTTCATACAAATTCCGTTGTGTTCCCAATCTTCCTTTCTTGATCTTCCCCCATCTTCTGCTGCCAGACATTACATTTACACTCGCGTCATATACTACTTATAAGTAGCGCGCACCACAACAGTACTTATTATTTCATTTAAACACATAAACAATAGCACAAAGTAGCACACCTAAATACTTATGAGCCACGCAAATGCATTTGTGAGTAGGTTGGGATACTGCCCAGACCGAATCAACAAGTGTGACCTCAGTTGTGGCAGCAATAACAACTACCTAATGATTGAGCACTCACAACAAAACATGATTGTTTTCACTTAGGTACTGGAAGAAGTTGTGAGTGTAGACTGCTTAGTTTGATACTAGGCTGAACCAGATATTCAATGGTTCCCAGTTTTCAATGGTATTCCAAATGATGTCAATTTGTGATAAATACCACCACCCACAAATCGAAAAGTCATCTAGAATCTTTAGATAATAAATTGTGAACCTGTAAGATTAATTTTTAAGTCATTTACAATCATAAGACTATGTACATCATGTTGTTTGTGGAGAATAAGTGGATTATTCAGTTTGACAAATCTCCGTATAACCACAATATATTCACCAAACTAATCACCAATAAGAATATGAATTTTGCTTTTATTTTCTGTGAAATTCAGAAAAAAACATCAGTTCTCAGTCATAATATGAAAAACTTTATAAAAGAATGCTTTTTTTTCTGGTACAGACACAACTTGATATTGTTAAGAGAAAATTCTTTTATATATCATTATAAGGTAAAAATGACAAACAGAAAAAAAAAGAAGAAAAACAGTCATGGTCAATTTCTTCTGATGTAGATTTTTTTAGAGTAAATAAATCGATAAATATTTGTTCTTTATAAGACAAAATATGCTGTTAGTGATTCAATGAGTAATATATATATTGGTGTGGCGGTATATGAATTCCAAAATAAATCACAATTTTTAAATATCAAATCATATAACATCACTTAGTTGACATTTTAGGGTATATTTTAAAAAAAAGTATTGTGAAGACAATGATATTTCATTTGTAAAACTATTTATGGCTTTATAAAGGTTAGAAATTCCTATTCAGATAGATGAGTACCAGTAGTGAAAGTTCTTTCATACTAAAATGTAAGCCAGTAAAATCATTAATCATCGGTCGGTCGGTTACAACTTAGAACATCGTATGTACCTACATCAGTTCAAGTTATCAAAACACATTAGAAAAAAGAGAGATGGAATTGTCAGTTCAGATTCCATACTAGTAGAGGTGGTAGAAGTATTAAGGTAATGGAGAAGATTGAAAAAGTATAATCCAGGGAAGTAAATTTAAAAAGCAAAAAGAGGTCATGAGCAATTCAGATTAGAATTCGAAAGAAGACAAAGAATGAATGCATCTGCGCTATGGCAAATGGTTTTGAGCCATGTCATTCAAAGTCTTTAACCATCGGTTACCATCGTCTCGTGGACCCCAACCAGGTAATCGACACCTACTAACACGGTTCAGTCCAGTTGTCAGTGATTTCCTGGAATTGCGCTATGTTTTGGTTTGGCCGCCCCTAGCTTTCATCCAGCGTAAAATCATTAGATTTAATTAAGGTCCCATTACATTTTTATTGAAATATTCTTGATTTGTAAGAATTGTTTATTCGTTGAGTAAAAGTAGTATGAAAAACCTCAGCGTATTGTCGAACGTCGATTACAATCACCAGTTTTGTCTCCGAATCTAAACAATGAGCTGGTACTAAAACCACCAATAATGACTGACTTTGAGAGAAAAAAAAACCATACTCAAGAGTATACATGGTTTGTAATGTTTGAATGCGGTGTCAACATTTTAGAATAAGGTTAAAAAATGAAACAACAAACCAAAGGACCATCGAGGTGTTGTATTGATTCTAATTAATATGTGATGCCTGTTTTACAGATCAAATCAAATACAACAGTATAGATAGGAAACTCAAAGTGTACATATAACGAAAGTGGAAATACACTTTATTTGTTAATTACTTCCACTTTCATCATTAACGAATAATTATAATCTCTCCTTCGGATAAAACTTATAAATTTCAAATAAATACACATTATGGCTAGTAGGAAATAACCTTGACGGATTATTTTTGTGTTCAATACCAAAATCTTCTTTTCTGAAAACTTAATCCTGCTATAAAGACAGTTTCAATTTTTTAACTTACAAGTTCATGACTGAATCAATTTAAGGTCACTAATTATCTCATTACATCTTAGGTTAATAAAAAAAAATAGTTTTACTAGAGAACATTTTATCAAGTAAATTACTTTAGTACAGTAAACAATGTTTATGTACTTTTATTACCAATATTAATCATTAAAAAAACGGAGTACATAAAATAACAAAATGAAGAAATTGGACTCAGCTCATTAACTACTGATTAGCTATTAGTGTTAAAGGACAATTCTAGTCTCAAACTAGTCTTAATGTAATATATATATATATACATCCAGCCGTCTCAAACAGGGAGAAAGGTGCATCCTGAGCTCACTGTCAGCAATGAGCTAATTATGCAAAGATTCCATACAAAAGCTTTTTTCTTTCCAATGCAATATGTAGTAGAAATGGAATAGGTCGATAACAGATTATTATATTATGAGATGAAGCCGATTCCACAACATTAAGATAGTAGTTGTACATTAATTTGGAACGTCAAGCTAGATACAAATGTTATTATGCAAAACAAAAATACGTTTTTGCTCAATAAGAAACTAGTATGTACGAGTGTAACTATAAATCAGAAGCATCTAATTGCACAAGTTCACATGTACATATAAGTACGAAACCCAATGTAAATTGATCTAATGTGTTTGCAAAAGCGTCGGGAATAATCCTAATCATTGAAAATCCTATTCAATCTGGATAGGTTTCAAATAATCTAAAATATACAGGTGACAAGCACGGTAACATTTAGAACGGGAGACGAGATCACATATGGACTTACGTTCGAAAACAATTATCTCCAGTCAACTGTCGGAGACAAAATGAAATTGATAAAAGAGAATTGTCCTGACGTTTACGTTTCTCATCATAACCTTCTAAAATATACCGACGACGGTTGATTACATTCCCAACAGCAGCAAAACATGATAAGTTGATATTGACAAAGCCAACTTTATGAAATGATTTGCCACCTTTTGTTTCCTGGCAGAAGACATTATATAAATGACAGAAAGGAAGTTTGAAACGAAATTAGATGGTCTAATCTTGTAATATGCATAAGTATGAAAATTTAAAACTGATGCCGCCTTTACAACATGATTTTATTTTGCGGGCAGATAAGTTGCCGACTACTCAGAAAATGAGACATACAACTCAGTAGCTACATGTAGTTTCCCGTAATCGGCTAAGGAAGATAAGCGCTATGATAATTAACAAAACTGTTCATCTACCCACATGAGAGAATGTGGATCAGGATAAGTATACTATTGAATCTGACAGGACGTTGATTGCGAAGGCAGTGTTGGGATCCGCGAGACGAAAGTCACCGATGGTTAGAGACCTTGGACGACATGGCTCAAAATTGTTTGCAATGACGCAGGTGCATCCACTCTTTGTGTTCCCTCTAATTCTAACCTTCTGAATTCCACATCACCTCTTTCTTTCTCCTTCTAAATTTATCTCACTGAATTATACTTCTCGAATTATATCTTCTCTCCCTAATCTCCTCCATTATTGCTAATACTTCTACTATCGCTATAACTCTTGGATTTGAACTGACTTTTGCGTCTCTGTGCTGATGTGGTATGTTGACCTGAACTGATGTACTGACGTACGAAGTTCTGCGTTGTATCTGTCTGTCTGCGAAGGCAATGTCTAATTTGGACACGTAAAAAGTGAATCTACTTATTTAAGACAACACAGGAAACTGATTTGAGAATAAAAGTATGATTTTCTCCATATACAAAATAGAGTAAAAGGCAGATTTATTTGAATGGTTATGACCCGTTTTGCGTAGTTTGGATACGATTAATTTGCCGTTAGGATGATCTCGGAGATAAGCTAAAACTTAAAAAAGGCAATAAAACCCTTACATAAGTATTCCCTGAGATTCATAACGATGTCATACACGAATCTGTGGGTTCGATTGTCTTATGTGTAAGTCATTGCCATGCACTGTCTTGCAGTGTGGTAAATTATCATAAGTAGGTTATGTGATTCTATATGCTAACTTGAATTTAAAATTAGGAATGACCTTAAATGAGTGATATGAGTAAATGATAATGAGCGAATATACCCATTACATGAACTAAGAACACTGAATGGAAGGTAGTGATACTATATAATGGCCTAAACCTTGATTTTTAAAACGGTCATGTCAAATTGGACGTACCTGAACTGACAAAAACTAACGGAACAACCAAACCAAAAACTAAATAATGCGTTTTGGAATAAAGCTAAGGTCCTATCAAAGAATTTCTGTGACATTTTCAATTGATAATGGTGATTAAACGTGAGGCAAACCTTTGCAAAGGTTTTTAAATCAAAAATCAACAAAAGTAAGAATTTTAAGGCCTAATGTAAGTTGTTTGTTGAAATGACTTAGAAGATCACACGAAACCCAGTCAAGTTACTTCAGGCTAACCTACTAATATTACTTGTAAACAAAAGCAAAAAAGATGGGTAAATTGAGTAAGCAATCTTGAAAAAGAAGTGTACAGTTTTTATCTTTTTAATTGATAAACAGATCAACATATCTACTTGCCAACGAAATATGAGCGTCTCAGGTACACAGGGCTGAATTTGCAAAACTCAGTGACAAAACAAACTTACCATGCGGATAGACACCTTTAGGATGTTTGAATCTAAAATAGTTGTCTCAGTATTGCTTTTGAATTTGCAATGGAATCGATGTTCACTATTCCAAGTTACAATATTATTTCGAATTTCAGTTCTGAACTATTAGTAGCAAGAAGAAACCTACCTAGGAGAATATTGAGCAGAATTTCGACTGTTCAAAAGCCGAAGCTTTGCAAAAGTGACAGAGTTAACGTAAGGAACAGCTGTCAAACTATGCAGCTTCACTAAAACTTCAAAATTATAGCACTGTTGCTTATTGAACAGAGGGACGCATGCCATATCCGTGAGCTAGTGACATCTATGAGTACTTCTCTGCAAATAAGTTTCCACAAAGTGATGAAATTTGCAGAACTACGCCAATCCCTAGGACTAGGCATAATGTCTTGACATGTTCATCCTTTTTTTGCCAAGGTTTGAATGACTGAAGGTCATCCAGTACCCAATAATTTGGTTCTCAGCTAGTTTGAACAAGCTTTTTTATTTGCACTCCCTTCCCGTTGTAAACGTACAGTTCTAGGTGGATCATTTTGTCTTCAGTTAATGTGACTGTTTACATCCTATGAAGACATTCATGTTGGCATTAGTATCCATCAGTTTACACAGCTGGTGAACGAATAGTGGAAATCTTGAAAATGGATTAAAAAAATGGTGCCTTAATTTAGAATATAGAGAGTAAATAATGATTATTTGATATTGCCAGTCTTTTGAAAAAGCAAGTAAATAGTTAAATGTACAAAATTTTCTTGAAAATGTCATAAGTACAGGAATGATATGAGATGACGTGGTATTTGGATTGATGATAGTCATATGTAGTAATTATGGATAAATTGTACGACATAGTGCAGGCTTTTGAATAAGCACAAGGAATATATCCTAAAAAGCTAAACTAGGCAAATACATGAACCATAATTTGGAGAGAACAGAATTTGTCACGGTTTGTCTCCGTCAACAATATGACGTTACAATGTAACATACAACGAGTCACTTTGTAAGGAGTTCCCCTGTAAGTAAAACAATACTTTTTATTAATGATACACCGTCATAATGTAACTACGAACGATACAGTGTATTCTTAACTCAAAGAAGTGGGTGACTAAATGGCAATGGATAACGTGTGACAAAATCATTTATAAAGAGAATTCAGAGTAATATTTTCAGATTTTATATGTTCTTTTACCCTTAGTTGAACAGTGTAATGTTTATGTCAATCCTCAAGCAAATTTCTCCTCATCATCGTGTGGTACATGCTCTGACTGGATGGTTGAAGCTATATCTTGCTTTTCGTGAATACGTAGGGATGTAGGGATGTCTTAAACATAACCCAGCGTATTAATTGCGTTGTCTGTTAATATTCCTACTTTTTTACCTCAGCTACATAATACAGATGGTTACAGTTTATGGGGTTAGAAAAAGCAAGTGAGACATGGAAACATCGATAAAGTAATTATAATCATATTACTTTGAAGTTATAAAGTAGTGCCATACATAATAAACCATGATTAAATCTTCGAAGTTACTAATCTTTCAGTCTTCATTCTGATATATCACTTTAATAAAATAATTCAAACCTTTTAAGATCTGCCCTGGCAAATTGAGGGTGTTCATCTTAGAACAAAGTTGATTTTTCGTTGTGAAATCAAAGTTTCTTCGGGCACTACGAGACCGATACTCGACCAAAGTCAACAATAATTTAGGTACATGGAATGTGTATAGCTTGAGGGATACTGCGAGAGTCATCCAAGCTAGCGGCATCTAGAATCAGTGAAACGCGCTGGACACAGGTCGGAAAACGAGTAATAGCTTCAGGAAAGTTGCAGTTATACTCCGATCATGGAAAAACTGCTTCATATACGCAAGTAGTCGTACTGAAGCTATCTAAAGAAGCAAAAACACACTGACATGATCGAACTCTGGTGGACACACAATCATCAAAGCATACTTCAAAAGATAGAAAGAGTGCATTACAGTGAATCTCATTCAGCGCTATGTGTCCTCCAACGATAATCACGAAGACTTTAAAGATCAATTTTGCGACTGGATGCAGTGAATCGTCAAGAAACGCCCAAAAAGAATTTATAACGATATTGGTTAGAAAAAAGTCACTAAAACAGTGAGACATTCGCAAATCTATATGCTTTCAACAAACTGGTCTTAGGTGATACCTTACTACGACAAAAACGCATACACAAAGCGAGATGGGTTTCACCAGATCACACTACGCAGAACTGAATCGTTCACATTTGCTTCAATAAAAAATTTAGAGGGACAGTGAAGGACGTAGAAACACAGAAATGAGTTTAAAAAAATTCTAATCATCACTTAGTATTAATCAAGATGAAACTGGAACTGAAGCACTGGACAACTGGTCACACAGCATCACAAAGGTTTGAAGAAGCATTACTTCGAGACGCAAGAAAAATCAACAAAACCAAGATAGCCATCAGCAATATGTAACAAGTGTTTCACGATCTACTCGATGAAAAGGAAACTGCCTTGGCGAATAACTGAGTAAAGATCAGAGAAGCAATAACTGCAGCACGTCATGGGGTCCTGAGCCAGGAAATGCACCGACACAAAGAGTTCAGTGGGTACTATGAATAGAATTCAAGAAGGGAAGAACAGAAAGTCAGCAATCAATGTAAACCGAACGAGAGCATAGGAAGCGATCTAACAAGCTGGATACACAAACAAAAAGCAAGTAAAGAGGAGCTACACAGTAAGATGAAAAATTCTGGCTCACGGCCTTTGCTCCGTTAAAGGTAACAGGCATAAGTAAGTAGATGAGTAAGTAACCAGAGATTATGCTTTCTGGATTGTTTAGATGTAAGGAAACGTCACAATTATATGGAATTAAGTGTGTTCTGAAATCCACTACATTCTGGAACATATCTTAACAGGTTTGAATATTGATAAGGAATTAGATAAAGGGAATTTAGAAACTCATCATTGAAGTTAATGACGAAGAAACCAAAACGAGATCAATTATGTCCACTTTAGCGGCGAATAAATGTTTTAAGGAATTCACGAAATAAATTGAGAAAGAAGTTAAAAAACGATTTGAAAAAATACAAGCAATCAGAATGGCTTAAAAACATTAGAGTTCTCATATGGTTAGCGAACTTCGGAAGAATTCTAAATCATCACAGTATAAGACTAGTGTCCTATTATTTGAAAATCAAGCTACCACCAAACTGAGGTTATAGAATATTTGAGAGACCTTCTTGTATCAAACAGGAATGGATGTAGTGAAATCTACTTCAAAGTCATCATCGGATATTGAAATGATAAGTTTGTGTACCAAGCTATTCATTCACTTCTACGACTTCACTTACGATTAAGAGGACACCTCCTCTACTAATTTTCCTTGATCGATTAGTAGAAAGTGAACCACTAGTTTGTACAAAAGATTCAAATTACAGAAAATATTACAGTTATATTTAATTTTACTGAAGTATATTCTGATTATCTTGATGAATAACACTTATAGAATTTGATCAAATTGTGAAGCCGTCACTGATCACAAGATCCCAAATATTCAATCAACCCAGTGAAAATCTACTGTAAGCCAAATGACTAGTTCCAAACTGATTAGACTGATACAATATAAAGTAGCTGTATCAAAATTACAATTCGAAAAATGGTAATGTCTGTAATTGGATTTTCTATCGTGACACTTTCTGTCTCCTTATTATCGCTGTCACTACTAAGATTCTGATGGCTACTATTTCCATTGCTAGTCATAGCATCCGAAAGAGAATGATGTTTAGGCTTCTTTATAATAGTAGCATCATGTTGTCTCCTAGGCTTCTTAGCCTTTACAGTACCACCATCACTTATCCTAGAATCTACTCTAGGTCCAGTTATATAATTTACCCTAAATGAAGGGTTCCGAAAATAGGCTTTATTCCGTCCAGACAATCCTGCCTGGGCCTTATTCATATTTACTGAATTCATTAACCTCTGATTACTCGAATCCAAATAACCGTTCCAGGCTTTTCGAGCAGCTAAGAGGCTTTTATCATCACACACTTCGGATCCATCATGATGCCTACACTTTTCACCTTTTTCTTTCCTTTCCATACTTAGAAAAGCCATCTTATCAGTTACACCAACCGGCTTCTTACTAGGATACGCATCAAGAGGTCTTACATCGTTACGGTCACATACTCGTCCTTCATCAGCGTATGCTTTCGTGATATAATTGACAACTCTCTTATCTTCCGAGCGTGCGTTAGATAGAAACGAAGAATCCTCATGTCTCGCACGCAGACCACTAGTAGCTTCCGTATTATTTCCTGTTTTAGCCCGATAAGCTAATCTTCCAAACCTACTACTAGCTATCTTAGCGCGAGACATAACAAATTCCGTCAAATCATTGAAATTAGGCTCTCTCTCCTCTTCGTCCCACTTGATTCCCAGCTCTGCCCACTGGGCTTGCATTCGACGAGGTAAGAGCCTGACTATTCGTTCTAAAGTAACCAAGGAATTAAGTTCCGTTGTGCAATTTAGCTGTTCTAAGGTTAAAGCAGCATTCTGCATTTTAATAGCCAAATTCGTCCATAATTCAGGATCATTAAAATCTGCGTTCCCAGTTCTAAATAAGTCCTCTAAGGTTTCCCGGGCTATTACATGCGACTGTCCAAAGAGCTGTTTTAAGATGGCCTTAGCTCTCTTATATCCCGCTGGTGGATCCATTATAATACAACCTTCAATCGCATTTTTTGCCCTTCCCTTACAATAGTGAATTAAATACAATAAACGCACTTGGTCGTCTTTTACTCTTGGTTCTATAAACGTTTCTATTTGACGCATGAATCTAAAATAGTCGCGAGACTTTCCATCAAAAAATGTAAGTTCGACCTTAGGTAGTTCTAAACCTACTATCGGTGTCCTAAGCATCTGATCGGTCTCTGGTACCTTAGAACTCTCACTTAATCCTGGTTCCTTAATGCCTGCCAAAGGTGACTTACAATAATAAGTATCAGACATAACATCAGTATTATCGTAGTGGTTACTGTGATGCTTAGAAGTATATGAATCAAGAATTAAAGAACTGCACCAACGAATGTATTGTATTTAGAATTCGAAATCAAGCATTTCACAACAACAAGAAGTTACTAGTTCATTCAAACACCACATCCGCCGCAGCTTAAATTGGAATGTATATGTCTGTAATCAATTGTACGTCTTCTTCTCAAATTCATCCTGTGTCTGTCCGACAGTGTATTGGATAAAGGCTCTGTATTATCTAGAATGCTCTCATTAGTATTAGAGTTAACAACCGGAATCGGAACAGACTCACCTGGTACCTGGAATTGTATTTGATCAACATGTCGATTGTGTGTACTTAAGTCATTGATATCTAGAAGTCGCACCATAGATTTCCCAACATTCTTCAGAACAATCCCCGTGGATGGTCGAAGA